AGTTAACTCTAGTTGCCGTGCTCTATCTAGTGATAAAAATTTATTTGGTGCTTTCAAAAGTAAGTACTTCCTAGGGTGATGTCTGTGCACTTGCAGGTGTGTTAATGCTTTTGTAGGAGATCCCAGAGGGTGAAAGCTTTTCTTCCTAGGCAATCCTGCTGAATCTTTTGGTGCCTTCACCAAAAGTTGTTTCTTTGGGCATTGTGGCATTGGCTAAACATTGAAATGATGGACTGAGCTACAGATTATTTTATTTTTCATCTGTTAGAGGAGCGAGTGGTACCCAGTGTAATTCACAGCTGTCTGTCTGCCTGGTTTTAGTGGGCCTGAACCTGTTGTACAAAATGTGCTAGGCCTAGTTTGGGTTAGAAAACTTCTCTTAGTTTTTTGGAGAAAACACAGCTACTGTTAGTATCCAAAGGATGTATGGAACTGTTCAAAAGGCATGTTGAGACTTAGTCCTCCATATCCAGCTACTGCTGTTAGGCCAAAAGTGGCCTTTTGGCCACTTTGTCTGCAGCATTTTGCCTGGGCCAGGAGTGCCACAGGTGAGAGGCATCCTGCCCTGCTGCCAAATGCCACGTGCTGCCAGCTCCTGTGCAGCAGCTGCAGGCGCTGCCTCTGCGGGGTGAGTCTCAGCAGCTGCTGCTCTCCCAGCCCTGCTGCAGGAACAGCCCTGCAGGAACAGCCCTGCAGGAACAGCCCAGCTCTGTGCTGGCAGCAGCAGCTGGCCCCTCCAGCTCTGCCATGGAACAACTGCATCCCTGCAGCAGGTGCTGGGAGCAGCCGCTGCCAGATGGGGAAGGCAGCTGCTTCCCTGGGCTGTGGAGGTGGGCTGGAGCCTGGGCTGTTGGGGTGGGGTGTCACAGAGGGTCTCAAAGCCCACATCCAGCTGTTACAGCTGCTGGGGTCAGACCACCCTGCAAGGGATTTAGAAGAGCCAGTCTGTCATCCTGCATTACAACTCTCTGGAAGCAGCTCCTAGGTTTGTCTCAAATGCCTTGGAGTCTGTCTGCCCTCACAACTTGTTTCCTCAGTGACTACTTAGCTTCTTTTATTATTTCTAATGTTACTGTGCAAGGATAGCACCCTAATGGTTACCTGTGAAACATTCCAAGGGTAAGGTCTCCGTCACTGAGGGGATATGAAGCTACCTGGAAAAAAAATTTGGAGAACGCTCTGAAATTTTATTACGTGAAAATTTCAATCTGCCTGGTGGAAACACTTACCTGCCCTGGAAAAGCAGGATGCAAAGAAAGTTGTTTTAACTTTCAGTAACTTTATCTTCAGAATCTGAATATGCATTCAGCACACAACAATAGTTTTCTCATCTTTGCATTCGTTTTCCTCTTGTGTGGTCTGGAAAAGCACAGAAGTGATTGCAGAGTCTCTGGAGCTGCTGTGAAGGCTGAAAATGATATCCTAGATTTACAGGAAATGCAGGGAGGAGGAGAACTTGTTCTACCTTTTCTTCTCCTTTGTCCTCTGAAAAAATTATTTGGTTTCTTTCTGATGTGTAAAGGTTTACAAATCAGTGAGCCTTCAAGGTTTTACCTTTTCTGTGGTGGTTTGTTTCTTTCATCTTTTGATGACTTAGAGGATATGCTGGTTGTTCACTGAAAAAAGATTTAGTAGTATTCAGGTAGGAATTTTCTTTTAAAATATTTAATGCCTTCTGTTAAGCAGGTCTCTCATGAAAGTAAAGCTGAATAAAAATCTGTGAATAATAAAAAAAGTCTCCTCAGCCCCTCTCTTTACTTGCTCAAAGATGCATTTTTAGCATCTTTAGGGCTCAACTGCTGTGCTGTATTTTTAAGGGTTTTTTCACTTCTGTTTCTGAACAAATTTAACTTTCTTTTTCCTATTAAATTTTTATTTGTTTGTTTCTTGCTTGGGTAGGATAAAAGGAATAAACATGAAGAAAAAAATCTTTATGTACTGTAAATAATTAAACCCTTTGAATTCTGTGTGCTTTTCTAGATAAGTGAGGCATAGAGCCCTAAGGTGCCAGGTGTCCCTTGGTCTTGTACTAATGAAACTATTCCAAATATAATGAAAATACAGCCAGGTAATATGGGACGTAGTCCATTCAAAGAAGCCCTTATAAATATTCCAGCCATAGGAAAAGCTGAAATCAGCCCTTGCAATTAGGGATGAGAGGCAAACCCATGAGGAACCAGACTGTGTTAATTCTGTTGCTCACAGAACCTGCTGGTTTCCTGTGTGTGTTTCCCTAAACAAAGCAAAGGCAGGAGCAGGCCAGGTTGTTCTGGGACTGATCTGTCATCACAGAGCCTTTGGTGTCATGTCATGCTTGCCACTGAGGGACTGCCTGTCTTGTGTGCTTAATTTCTTAGGGAAAACCAAAGACATGCAAATCAGATTATTTTCTTTAGTTTTGCTCACATGACATGATGCAGGTACAAGGAAGCAGCTTTAATTTTTGGTTGCTGGGGGTTTTTGGTCTCACTGAGGGCTTCTGACTTGATACAAGGATTTGCATGTCATAGTACGTAGTGTTTGGATGTTGAAATGCAATATGATAAGTGCAATATAATAAGGTTCTAAATAATCTTAATTTGCTGCAACTCTGACATTAACAGTGTGTTGAAGATCTGGGAATGTCTGGTTTATGGCTACATTGATAAGTAGCACTCATTCTTTCCTGATGCAATTCTGAAATGTTTGTTTTCTGTTTTGTTGACAACTAGCAAAAATGGTCTGTCGAGAAAGTGAAATCTTCGTTTAAGATTTCAAATATGAAAAAGGACTGTAAAAATGGCGCAAAGATTTTTAACCAAAACTGTTTGTCTTGGCTATTAAGAATTCTGATGATTTTTATTTTCAGCTGGTGTTTACACCTGTCTGTTCTTGTTACCCGGTGACTCTGCATTGCTAAGTGACCAAGAGCAGGCTTCTGCTTTACATTGTAAATCACCAGAAAGATGATTCAGGAAGGATGCAGACACACAGGTGAATTAGCTGTTTAATTACTCTGCCCTCACTGTGATGAGTTAGCTCCTTTCACTGTGTGCTCTGGCAGGAGGATAAGCTAATTTTGTTTAGTTTATCACAAAATGAGAGTATGCTGAAGTGAGCTGAATTGTTTTGCAGTTAGTATGGGCTAAGAGAAGACAGTGGCAAGTCAGCAGAGCTGCAGGAGTGATAAAAAGAAGGGACAACTAAAATCCTGTTAAATCCTGTATTGTAGGTACCATCTCCTCAGCTTCATCTGCACAGCCCAGGGGTGAAAACAACACATTGTTGGTCAAGTTCTTATAGGAGGTTGGAATGTGAGGTAGTTCTTAAAAAGGTCATGCAGATTTGGCACGACTGACAAATGAGAAATAGTAATTATTTCTGTAATGACCAAATTAAGTGTTATTCACTCAAATGTAAACAGAATCTCAGATTTCTGCAGAGCTTTTTCTCAAAGCAGGATTTTTTGCAGTAGATATGTATGTTGACATCAGTTCCAGTGCAGGTTGATGGTAGTATGAAATATCCTGTGATTTCAGAAATGACAACAAGCTCAAGGCCTGTACTCTTCAAACCTACCTGGCATAAATGTATAAGCATTTGCTGGGGATTGTGTAAAGTTCTGTTCCATTTTTAACTTCAGAAATAACTGCAAGAAATAATGGAAAAGAAGGCAAAATGATGCTTCTGAGGAGCAAAGTGGTATTTTTTTAGCATTCCCAATATGAAGTGGGAGCAATTCAGCATTAGCACAGTGTGCTCTGGAGCGGAAGAAACCTTGTCTTGTTGCAGAGAGGATCGATGTGGTCATGAGAACACTGTGTAGCAGTAGAAACTGCTGCCTCCCCTCTGCAGGCAAAATTCTCCATAATTTCATCTTGTGGTCCTTCAGACTGGTCCATTTTGTGTTGACATACTGCATGTAGTGCTTTGTAAGTGTGCAATTTTTCAGGGTTGAATTTAGGAAGAGAGAAATGACCTTGAATTTTTTCATGATTTCTTCATTTTATGTTTTCATGGTTGTAAATTGGGAAAAAATAACATGGGAAGTATATGACCTGATGGCTCTTTATGTCTTGGAAGGAAAAAAGTGTCTGTTTAGCCTCCTTCTTCTCTTACAACATAAAGGGAATCAGGAAAACTGATCTGTTTGTTGCTGCTATCTAGCTCTGTATTATTAGTGTTAACAGGTTTGGGTTTTTTAAATTTTTTCGATGCAGTTTTATATACCACAGTTTTATATAACTGTGTGGTAGAGCAGAAGGAACACAATCATGTTTCAGATCTTGTAGAAGTCCAAACTCCTCTTGTGTGTTTGAATACAGTTAGAATGGTTAGGATGAAAGATAAATTCCAGAAAGAAACTCAGCTGTTTCCTTTTTTCTCTTTTGGTAAAATAGATCTGATATAATGTGAATGGTAGCAAATATGTGGCAGAATGAATAGCAATGCTCTGCCTGCTGAAGTTGAATAGTTGAAAAGGTCTGGGTATCAAAAAAAGGCAGCAGGTTGCGGCATCTCGGGTTTTGCTGAGTAGAGGTGCTCTTGTGTTTGGAATTAAGCTCAGTTCAAAATATGGTTTTATGAGGGTTAACCTTAAAAATGCTATTGTGTTAGATTTCTTGAACTAGGTAAAACCAGTGTACAGGGCTAGAACTTCAAGGTTTTTTGTGTTCCCCTTTAAAGTAGTATGAGTGCTTCATAGATATGAATTCAGAGAATTCTCAAAACATCTTTATGGGACAGCACTATTGTCCTAATTTTACAGATAACTACTTGGTCTTGCTTCCCTAGGTGGCTTGCTCAAGGTTACACAAGAGTCCTCTGGTGGAACAGGGAATTGTATCTAAATGTGTGATGTTTAAAGCTTGAAGTCTGATTTCTGAATTACTCTTTTGTAACAGAGAGGGAAAACCCATACCTTTCCTGTCATCCTGCTGAAATGAATTGAATTATAAGTATTAATACCCTGATTTTGATCAATGCTTTTAATTCTGTTTACTTCTTCTTTTTATTTTCAGGCATGTACTGGTATTGAAAATATTGATGAAGCTATAACGTTGCTTGAACAAAATAACTGGGATTTAGTGGTAAGTATTCTAAGAAAATGACTTCATAGATCAACCCCACGTAACAGTGACATGGCATCTTGCTAAGACAGCTGGTAGCTTTATTTCAAATTTGGGGGTGTCTCTTGGCTGGGACAAACAGGCTGTTATGTGCTTCTGGCCTGTTAAAGCCTCATCTCCAAGTAAATGTGATCCTGAGTTAAACAAACCCTGCTCTGCTGTGATAATCTTCAGGCTTTTTTCATTTCTTTCTTGTCATGTAAAGCCATGTTTCATACTGTCTTTATTTTCCTCTTGTCTTCATTTTGTAAGAAGTGTTATGAAGGGTAGTGTTTTTAGAAGAAGACCTGTGTGCACACACATGGGTTTTGAGGATTTAGGTTCCTGTGGAAGAAATGGAAGATGAAACAACTTTTTCAAATTTTCATGTGCTTTTAATTTAAAATTAGGATTGTTGCTCTTCTGTTGTTGTTGGTTGTGCAGAATGGAGTCAGATAATTAAAGCCATAACTTTTAGATTTGGTGCTATCCGGACATCATTAAGTACAAACAAAAAACCCAGCAAATACTCCTCCTGGAAAAACCTCTCATCTATTTTGCCACAAGGTTCAATATGCAGAAAAATAGGAGGAAACCAATAAAACCAAGCAAGTAGACTTAGGTGTTTTAAGACTCTTCATAGGATTAGTAAATAAAGAAACTATAATCCAATTTCTTAAGGTTTAGAAGTGTAAACTACAGCAAACTTAATTAAAAGGTGAGTAGTCTTCCTTTAATACTGTGAAACTTTCGATATTCTCCTTGTTTTTTTTCTCTTTTCCAAATGAGTGACCTTTGGACCAGCCCAAAATATCAGAAAGTTATTATGAAAAGAATTTGATTTCATATCAGATTAGATTTCATTCGATTTGAAAATTAGATTTCATATTAGGTTTGGCTATCCATAGCTAAAATTGGCTATGGATATAGTTTCAACTGTAACCTATTGTAAAAATCCAGTACAAACTCCCAGCACTTGAAACTACATGTTAAAATGAACACAGTCTTTATTTTGCAACATGTCAAGGTATGAGCAAGTGTGAGACACCAGTGAGCAGAAGGGAGTGTCTGTCATCAGTGGCTTCAAACAGAAAAACCCAGATGTGTGTTGAGTGATGGAGTTAAAATATCTTTTGTCATAGTAGCTTGTAGTGACATGGCATGAGCGCTTTTAAAAATTCAGGTGTTTACAGGAAGGCAAGGAATAGCCTTGTGCATTCTGTTCAGGTTGTGAAGTTCCCAATACAATCCATTAGATCTGCTGGATGTGGTTTTGGGGGATTTGTAAATTGTGTGCATTACAATAAATGGCCAACAGGTTGGGTCGAATGAGAGAGCTGCCTTGAAAAATGGTCAGAATAAATAAGTCACTTCTGAGACTCCAGAATGAGCAGAAAGCAGAGTGAAGTTTCTAAAGCTATGAGAACACCTTTAAATATTTAATTTTATTAGTGATTACTAGATGATCTAGAAGTAGAATATAGAGAGGAAAGAAGTAGTGACCCAAATGTGCAAGCTTAAAAAAGGCATAGGGAAAGTAAGAAAGGGTAGAAAATTAGGAATGCAAGAGGTATTTGAGGAAGGTACATAGTTTTTGAAGCTAGGCAGAAGATGAATGAGAGGAATAAAAAGGAGTGTCTATGAAAAGGAAATGGTAAGTTGTAGAAGAAAAATGATAATATTGAGGAGACTGTAAGTGAAGGAGATGCCCTAAGGGTCTGTCATTAACAGGACACTGGCTCATTTTTATTCAAAGTAGCCTTGTAAAAAAGGGAGTGTGAGTGAAAGCCAAATCCTGCTTATCTAACAAGGAGGTAGAAACAAAAGAATGAAGGAAGAGAGCAGTGAAGAAAAGGAGTTCCTGAGGTGTGAGAGAATCAAATATCTCTGTTAGGCAAGGGGTTTTAGCATTGCAGAAGAACTTGAAGAAGGCTCATGACTTACCAGAAATGTAGTATTTTTTATTTTGGAATTAAAAGTGCATGATCCATGTGGTGATTTTTTTTTTTTGTCTGTTTGTTTATGTTACATTTTTTTATAAATTAGATTCAGTAGTCAAATACAGATTCAATGCCGAGAAATTGGGGAGGGTTTGTTTTAATTAAACCAAAAGGTCTTAGAGTTTTTTTAACTGAGATGAAAAACTTAAGAAATCCTTTAGTTTGGCACTAAATACGTTGTTCAACTCAGAGCAAAACTTTTTTGATTTCTGAGGAAAACCAAACTTGAAGAACTTGGTTCACAGTTGATGAAGACAGTAGTGAAGTAATGATGATTTTGGTAAGGGCTCCTCTGCCATCCTTTGGCTCCCAGTGTTTGGTAAATGGGAAGAACACAATTTCTGTTTTCTCTAATTTCACTTCATTTACTGCATCTGATTCAGAGGCTTTTAAATGTCGATTCCTTTACTTCTGTGATGTTGGAAGTAAAATCAGAAGTCAGTATTTGATGAGGAAATCTTCTGTGAGGCACCCAGGCTACTAAGTAGGAAGCTAAGCAAATCCCGTTCAGATGTCATCAGCCAAAGCTCAGGGGCACTCCTGCAGCAAAAGGGGGAAAACCCAAAAACATAAGGAAGTTCTTGTCTCAAAGAGATTGTTTACTCTTGCTTTTCACTCAGCCTGTGTGTATCTCAAATCCATGTTCCTGTTCGGGAAAAAAGTCCTGCATTATCAGAGGCTGTGCTAAAGACCCAGGTTGAAGATTCCCTTGGGCACCTGTTGCTTCTTGAACTCTCTGACTCTCAGCTCAAGGGCGTTGTTATTTCTCTGGGATCTCAGCCAAAGTAACCAAAAGAAGGAGCCCTGGTGAGCTGGAAAGCAGAAGGATCCCGAACAGAAACAGAGAAGTAGGTACTGACATGGGCTGACAGAAATGTACATCAGAATGCACAGAGACAGTAGAGGTTAATAAGTTCACAAAACAAGTTTCTTGCATTGTGATACAAGTACTGTGTGTTTGTGTAAGCTTTTCTAAGGATTACTTTGCTTACACTGAAGAAATATTCCTGCTGCTTAGTTCGTCACTGCATTTTTTTGCCCCTGGTCTTGCTAGAATTTGGTATTAAGTGTTAAAATGTCAGCAGTGTCTTTCTTCTTGCTGTTACTATGTTCTGTATCTTTTGGACATTTGGTTTTACCTTTAAACAAAGCTAAACCTGGGTTAAGTGTAAGGCTCTCCTTTCTGGATTTAGTTTTTCTAACAGTCACTTTTGTTTCTTCTTAAGAATTAAACAGAATTCCTTTTTCTTTTCAGTTTAGAGCTGAAACGTCAGCTTCCTATTTTTGAACTCTAAAACGTGACTTACCCCCAGTTAGAAGTCTTCATCTCTAATCCTCTATATGGGATACTCTAAGGCAATATAGACTGCCTCTAATTTATCTTGACTTGGGTACTGGACTTAAATGTCTCAGCGTTCTGTATGTTTTATAGTGCACAAAGCAGTTGTATGTGTTTTGCAGTAGCTGCTTGAAGCAATACAGGAAACTGTCTTTCATAAATGTTTGGTTGCTTGGCTTTGTTCAAGTGCTCAAAATAAAATTGGTCACAAGAGTGCTGCAGAGGAATTCATATGCAGCAACAGTTTAAAAACTGCTTGGTGGGATCATGAAGCCTAATTTTGCCAATAATTAGTTCCCCTCTGGTGCAGATGACTTGGCCTTTGTGGTGGTCTGCTGCATATAGAGCAGCTTTGGGTTTTTCTGTGTTAGAACACTGTAGCCTAATTACAGGGCTTATTATAGGCTGGGCGATGAAATGTTTCAGATGTTCTGTGAGATACAGAAGATCAACATAGATAATATAATGATCTCTTCAGGCATTCTGCTATAAATGGCTGCAGCTCTCTTAAGCCTCCCAGGCTTGCTGGTATGTTATTTCTTTTAGCTCTATTAATTTACAGTAATTTTTACCATGTGAGGAAGCAGAAGTTAGGAATTTCTGTCCGTTGTAAAGTCTGGTGGTTTCATAGCTTGCCCATTTAGACTCTGACCTTCTCTTTTGGCATGTGAAGGTAAGAATGACAAATACATCTTAAACTTTGTATATAAACAATAAAATAAAGGCGTGAAAAATTCCAAATCTGTGTCTGTTGAAAAGTTTCTGATGATGGTACATATTTAAAGAAAATCACCCATTAGTGACTTGACCTTATGCTCTGTAGACCTTTATTTATGTGAGATTATTACACAGGTGAGAGCTCTTTGCTCTCTTGAGATCCCGTGCTTGAATCTGTGTATGAAAGTAAGTAAAGTGGTCTGCTCTGCCTTTCACAGATTTAATGAAAAAGTCAAGTCTTTCATATGCAGCATGACTTTATATTCTGTATTGGTAATCAGAACAGGATTTTTGAATGAAGAGCAGAATTCACCACACTTAATTTTCTGCTTTTTCCAGGATGGCCATTTCTGTTTTTACTCCTGCTCCCTGGTTTAAAATTGTTTTTATTTAATATCTTTTCCAAGAGACATTATAATATAGGTACTTTTATTATTGCTTTAAGAAAAAAAAATAATCAAAATTTATTGATGAGGGGGGAGAGGGCCATTTACTTTCCAATATTCAGTTTACTTGTAAATATATGTATAATGATTGTATGTATACAACCCCCTTCAATTTTTTATTTTCAAAATGACCTTTGTGCCTTCCTGCTATACTTGGCTTGATTATTCTATATTCTGGTAGAGGATCAAAGCAAGTATAGCTTCAGTAAAAGCATCAGTTTAGTGCACCTGGAGATGGGATGAATTGCATTTCCTGTCATACTCAGGTTCCAAGAATCACCTGACAAGAAGTGATTCTCTATCTTGGGAGGAGAAACTGTATATTTTGAACATCTGTTTTTATAAGGATTCAACTCTTAACTAGAACTTTTAATTTTAAATCGATAACGTAGATGGAGGTTTTTTGCATCTTGCTTGTAAACTTCTTGGAAAATAATATTTGTCAGGGTTTTTTTTTTTTACTCTAAGTACCAATTTTGT